AATAGTTATGGATGTGGGCTGTTCTAGTTTTAGGGAAATGCGAAGATTAGCTCAGGATAGGAAACAGTGGAGGCGCGTGTCCAACCAGTCTTAGGACTGACGACCTTATGATGATGATGATAATAATACTTATAATACTTTCTTACCTGCTTTTAGTAAAACGATTTGGTCGTCTTGCGAGAGCTTCATAAAACCGGGTACCATTTTGGCGAATTCGATTATTTGTTGTATGACGGTGGTTAATTTTTGCGCGCATTCGAGCCAAAGTTCCTCGTGGGCCATGTTCTTATAATAAAGCAGTCGCGAGAGGTCGTTCGGCTTGCGGAACATCTCGTGAATGTGATCCAGCGTGAAAAGACATGTGCGGGCATGTGCGTCTGATATCGTTTTCGCCAAAAGTTCGGATATTTGACTTGGGTCTGGAACAGAAACGATGATTAATGCTTGTCACACCCTATCAAAATATCGACTTTTATCGAATTTCAGTTGAAAGAAAAGAATTTAATTTTCTGACCTTATCCGATTCAGACAGTGAACGATTTGAACAAAATTTTAAAATACATACAAAAAAAATCGGGTGATATAAAATACTCATCCATATAAAAATTTTGTAGTCTGATTAACAGTTTTAAAATTCCTATTGATTACAACCCAAAAACTAGCATCAATATAATAAAGCACCCTAGGTTAATATAAAACCTAAAACTAAGTGAAGCATTTCTTCTATGTTTAAGGTTTGCAATGTATGATGAGAGATGATTGTTCATTGATTCGTACTAACCTTATTTTGTAGTCTACCTATGTGAAATTTAAAATTCTGCTACACCAATAAAATTAATCTGATGGCGGAAACATTTTATTCCATTCATTACTGACGCAACATGATTCTAAATTTCACAAAAATCGACTATTACCAAATGCAAATGTTTGCTTGCATTGGACTATTTATATTAGATATATTTAGAGATTAAGTTATTTTCCTTTTGAATTAGGTATGTATTTACAAATTAGTTTTGTTCTACTATGGATATAAAATATTGCAACTTCAGTTAGTAGTAATGGGTGTTTCAGTAAAAAAGTGTTCTGCCTTTAATGTATTTATGAATGACACCAAAATGTACAGCAGTGATTAAGCGATGATTAAATTGACTGACTGATCGTCCATTGTAAATAAGTGAACTTCATATTTGTAGGAATAAAAGCCATAAGTAAATAAAATAATAAACAAATAGATACTTTTATATCAGTAGTTTTTAAGTAATCTACGAACATTTTACTTTTAAATTCATGCACTTTACACAGCTTATTTCTAAACTTATATATGTCATATCGTGATCATACCGATTTCCACCAATAACTCGAAGCTTTCATGAGAATCTTACCATAAAAGTAGTTGTTTTCATTGATTATTTTATTGTAAAGATAATCTAAGCCACAAAAGCCTTAATTTCTTAAAAAAATATTTAAATATATCCCGAAAGACGAGAAAAAATGGAAATTAAAGAAGTACAAAGCTCAGCGAGAATGCAGCTTTTATTATAAATATTTTTAGAATACTTGTCAATAAAGTCAACTATTTGAAGAAAAAAGTGTATTTTAATAATGAACATTTCTTTCTAATTGAACGATTTTGATCAAAGATTCCCACGGATTTATTGCTTTAGAAAGTCAAACAAATATTGTCTAAAAAGATGATGGGTCTCTCGATTTAATATATGTAGATAAAAATTGAACATTTTTTATGGTAAGTTCTGTTTCAAGCAGGCACAACTTACTGGGCAAAGAAACGGTATCGGAATCTTCGGAATTCCTCTGCTGTAGACTTTGCGATCCGGTCTGTTGTTGCCTGACAGATGATTGTTGTTGTACGCTAGGTGAGTTAACGAAAGTGGTACTATCTACGTAATTGGGCACGACGGTGTCCTGGGTCGACGATGACCCTTCCTGTTTGACCGACACCATCGTGCCTCCGGACATCGAGGAGGCGGCACTCGGCGACGACGTTTGCGTCAGTCGCTTGAACGGGCGCGATTCCGATATTGTCAAGCCCTGTTTACCACTACCACCACCACCACCGCTACCATTACCACTGCTACTTGTGTTAGTGTTCCCTACACAGCACCATATGAAAATGATCACATGTCAAACAACGACCAAGCAATGTATATATGTATGTATGCATGTATGAATAACTGCCCCCAATGGACTCAGATATGCAATTTTTTTCCAGGACTAAAAACATAACATTTACATTTTCGCCATAAATCTACAAGGTGTTGATGGTACGATGGTTAGCACCATAAATATAAAAATAGGAGACGAAAAATTAGAAGTCAGATAGATAACTCACGTTGAATTGAACGATAGAGATACAAAAGAAATGATAACGCAGGGTTAAGTCGCCTTTAATAAAAAGAAGTCATTTCTATGCTTTCAAACGAATAATTTACCACGGTTCCGGAAGGATGTGAAACGTGGTCGGTGGGTGCCACGGAATAGAATGGTTAAATGCGTTTGAAATGTAGTGTTACAGGGCGGATGATGATGGTACTGTGAAAACAGAACGTTAGGGATGAGAAGGTATTAGAAAGTAGAAGAACGGAATGCGCTATGAAAATCAATAAGATATACGTGGGATAGGTTGGCAGGACACCTTGTCTAACCAGACATGAAGGGTTAGAGATAGAAGCATATTAAAAGCAAGGACAAAATTAAGAGAGGTAGACGTAAACTCAGATAAACTTTTAGGTGTTTATTCCTATTATGTACTAATGCTGGTGGACAGGCAGCCGGAAGTTAGGGCGAAAGGCCCTCTTCAGTCTTCTTTTAGGAGTCGTGAGATTGGTTAGAAGTAGTTGGGCGAGAAAGATTAGGCCGACGAAATGAAGACAGAAGAGAATGAAAAATTATCTGTGGAATATTACTCCCCCAGCATTTGCCTAAGTGATCAAAGGAAATCATAGAAAGGGCCAAAACAAACGGACTCGGAATCGAGCTGGTGTCCTCGCGAATGCCAAGCAATGGTTTAAACCTATAGGCCCTGCCACTTGATAGACCTACATTACAAATAGTTAAGAATGTGGAATGTTTTAGTTTTAGGGAAATGTCGAAATTGGCTCAGGGTAGTAAAGAGTGGAGGTGCGTGTCTATAATGATGATGATGATAATGAGCCTTGCATTAAGTTTTTAACCACATATACGTGGCTACAAAAGGAAAGGCATGGCTACCACCATTCCAACAACAAAGGGGTGCCGAAAGATGCTGAAATTTTAAAACAATTAACTTGTTTTCATGCACCACAAATCTTAATGAATCGTGCACTGAAGGATGAAAAAAGGGCGGAAGAAATTGTAGGGGATGACCGATTCGGGCTTAGAAGAAATTCTGATAGAACGAATTGATTCCTATTATATACGGTCTCTTCCGGTAGATTACAACTGAGGTCAATTTAGGAAGGCGCAGTGCATAATAACTTTTGAAAAAAGTTTAACTCACTCGACGGTGCTGTCATAAATAACGGTTTTAATGGTAAAGAATAGTCTCCAAGGAATAGGTAAATAATCTTATAGAAATTAGGGATTCGGCATGGCTATCTATGTATGTATACGTGAAAAAGAGAATAAAAATCCACTGACTTTACCATATAAGAATAAGGTCATTAGGTTATTGTGAGTCACCACCGCTTTTATTTATCAGGTGTGCTAATGGATTAAAATTCTCAACAACATAGACTACTGTTACAGCATAATGTATATTTTTACATATATATAGGTACGCATATTTATTTATAAAAAGCTTGAAAATTTAAATGTGTAATATGCGATAAAGAGGCATTCAATAACGGGTATCGATATTAAAAAATTGAGTAACTGAAAAGTCGTATGGGTATTATTTTAGGGCATCGTTTCTTAACATGAGGGTCGCGTTCAGGAACATAGGAAGCCGCAATGTGTTCACTAAATAAGACCCGTACACAAAACATCCTTTTATTGAAATACGTTTAATTCAAAACAAGTATTAAAAAAATTAATGTTATCATGTAATAACAACATTACTAGCCTTTGTTTATAATAATTATTTTTAATGCGATCGGTTGATGTTCGTCACTTAAAAATGTTTCTTCAGATGCATCATCATTGAAAATACACGTAAGCAAATCATTTTCCAGTGATAAAACGATTTCTATGTTTAGTTTTTAAAGCTACCATAGGGGGGAAGTTTTTTTTTGCATATTAAGTAAGGATTATAACGAAAGGGATCAATGTCCTAAACTAACTTATGTTACTGGACTTCCATATTCACATCGTTGTACAAGCCAAAACTTATCTAAATCGTAAGTTAAAATAATTTAATGAGGGATTATCATAAGGTTTTTGACTTTTTGGCTGTTTAGTGGGTCGCGACAAGAAAAAGAGTTTAAAGCATCACTAAGTAACTTTAGGTGGGGTCCAGATACTTTTAAAAACCTTTACCGAGGTCCAAGAAAAAATATACTCCTTACTTCAGAAATTGCCAGGGTGAGATATCGGTTTATAAAATTATTCTTTTGTTATATTTGGAGGTATCTATTTTGCTGTCTACAGAAAAATATTTTTTAAATAAGGTATTTGAACGGCTTCAAAAAATTTTTGGCGGTCGTTTTTGACTTTCCGCGGTTCAGGCCGGACCTGAACCGCAATCCGCCAGTTGCCGACCGATGGTTTAGAGACTGTGTTGAAGGGAAACCAAAAGCCCTGAGACGTCTCAAAGATGTTAAACAACCAAAATTATAAGTGTAAATTATATCCAAATTTTATTTCAATTACTGTGTGAATTAACGGTCCTTGTTTGATTGATCATTCCAAAAGTTTTTTATTTTCATGGGAAGATATATCTTACGTTAAATCATTCGGATTGAAATGAAAAGATAATGGAAAGTCCTGGAAGTTCTGCGCTTTAATTATTATCTTACAAGATGCATATCTGTGACCAGAGGGTTGTGTGTTATATGTCTTTATGTACAAGCCCAGAATTATATATAAAGTAGAATGCATTTCAAAGCAGTATTAGTACGGTAAAAATTAAAACAGGGAAACTAAAAATGAACAAAAATAATAAGACAGACCTGTCGTCACGACGTTCGTCATAAGACTGCCCGTTTCGCTGAGGTTATCGAGACCCGGCCGAGGGTCGTACGCCGTTGTACTGTCTACATCGTTGGCGGAGATGTCGTAGCCCATCGAATTGGCCGGCACTTGGCTTGTACTCGTGTAATATGTTGGCGTGTAGGTACCGACCTCGCTGTTGTAGGCGTACCTGAAATAATTAACAATCGTAAATGTACAAAGACTTTTCGCAAAAATTCGAAAACACTGTACTAATTGCATAAAAATAGATTTGTTTCTGAAATGGCTTTTTGAAGACAGGAAACTACAGAATTAGTATATAAAACGAAAAGAATAGTTTGTACTTAAGTATATAAATACAATAATTGTTTGTACGTAATTTATAGTTTACATGTCGCAATATGCAATTTTAAAAATATCAGAAATTGGGAAGTGTACATTTTTATACATTCTTCCAAAAATTTGGGCTCTCCTCCCCCTTGGTAAGTTTTTGCGGGACTTGTTATGAATAATGAAGGTGTAATTGATGACGAGATTTGATTCCCTTACGTCCTTGGCAACTTCACTTTAACCTGTACGAATCGGTACACCCTGCATAATACTGACTGCAGATATGAGATTGAATATGACTGAATTCATAGAAATATGTTCTTGTTATTTAACAGAACAGGAGTTGCATATGTATATCTATACTAGAGATTCACCGAATAGCGTTTTTACCGGGTAATCAAGCAAAACCACTACGGCTGATGGTTCATGTCTTTGTTCTGACAGAGTTTCCATTAAATACTACCCTCACCAACGTCCCAATCCACATTAAGTCTAGTTCAAACAGTCGTTTAAACTTTAAACCAATGAAATTTTAATTTTTCCTAAAGAAGTGTCAGATCCGTCTTGTACACCAAAATAACTCGAACGTAGATACATGTAAATGAAATTTTATAAATCTTGATTAGTGATGAGTAAAATTGGTCTTGACCAAGACTTAGCACGCAAGACTAAAACTAAGGCCGAGGATTATATCAGCAAAACCAAGACAGGCTATATCAGACCAAAACTAGAAGTATTTTAACGAAACCAAGACCGAATAACCATTGCTCATCACTAATCATATTATAACATACACATCCACTGCTCTGCCCAAGGCGTTCTCCCTAAGCACGAGCTTTAAAAATCTTTGCTGAAATCTATGAAAATACCTTGCATTCCTACTAACACATTACGCTAGATTGTCCCCGTGCTTCATCAGACCGCTCTTCCTCCAGCCTTCAGCATTCCCCTGAGCTTTCGAAGAGAGAAAGAAATGCTAGTGCATTGTCACACAAAAGAAACCAATCATCTCGCTCACATTTCCAGGCGAACTCTTTGAATTCTCTTTAGATGTTTATTCTACACTTCCTCATAAATGAAACCTACCTATGTATGAGACAAGATCGTTTTCCAGTACGACAGAATTACTAGGTGCTCGATATTATTTAAACGTACAGACAGGAGCATTATTGATTAGTTTTTGCGCCGTTGAATAATTAAAAGGGCTCCCAACTTTTATAAAACCTATCCACGTACTAGGTACTCTCTCGANGCAATACAATAATTTTTAAATAATTATAATACAATCTTATTGATAAAATATGGCGTATCAATTAATTTGAGGGGTTTAAAAGAAGTAAAAACTTAATTTTTAAGCTTTTCGGGGTAAAGTAGTTTGAAATGTTAAAGATTGGAAAATGCTGCGTAAGGTAATTTCACTTAACTACTATGGCAGTAATAATGCTAATAACCAGATAATGGCATATTCGACGTCGACTGAAGTATTTAATGGTTTCAACGTCTTACTCAACGACCAGTGTAATAACTGTGTAAGAAAAAATAAAAGAAAAAAGAAGTATGTGATGTGTCGTAACTTACCCGGCGACAAAAGAACACAAGCAGAGTAAAGAGCAAGCTCAGTCTCAGTCAGTTTCAGTTCTGCTATGCTCTTTGACATTTCAAACACACACGTAACCAATTTCATTTCGGCGGTGTCCGAAGTGAAAAACGCATCCTGAGGCAGCATTGTGTCACCATACAGTACACAGTTCTGTGACAAATCCATATACCTGGACATCCTCAATATCGCAAGTTCAAAACTTCCTGAAAATGTAAAATAATATCATTTAAATGATGTGTTCCAGTCAAATTGTATGTTTCAACAGAAATAATTTACATTATATTTTAATTTTTTTTAAAACTCGTAACATAAGTTGCTTTTATTAGATTATTAGGTTCTACTCGCGGCTTTGCTCGCGTTGATATCCTAAATACGGGTCAAAGATCATCGACGACCACCTACAATAATTTTTTTTTTATCTCTCACGAATAGTATTCTTTTCTGGATAAAAGGTATCCTATGTCCTTTTCTGTACCCCTGAAAATGTGTGTACAAAATTTCATGATGGGTTTCACCCGCGGCTTCGCTCGCGTTGTCAAAAATCATCGACCACATAAAATAATTTTTTCTATCCCCCGGGAACAGCATATTTTTCTGGATAATAGGTACCCTATGTCCTTTCCAGTACCCCTGACAATGTGTGTACAAAATTGCGTAATGATCGGTTGAGTAGTTAAAGAGTGAAGTAGTAGCAAACAAACAAATTCACATTCTCATTTACAGTTAGTTCCTTGAAAAATTATATGTTTTCGTCATTTTTAAGTGATCCCAGAAAATATTTTCAAGGGAGTAATTATATCCTGCGCACAATTTTATATTAAAATAAACAGTAGGAACCATATTTTATTATTTCATTATTTCAAGTACTTCCTTTTTTTTATTTTTCAAAAACTACTGGATAGATTTTAATCAGTTTTATTCCTTAGACGCTTAATTTTTATCTCAAATAATCATTATTAGGTGACATCAGTGAAACTTATTGCAATTTTTCGTAATTCGTATTAAGCATTAGTTTTATAGATATTTAGGTTGAACGGGTGATTATAACTAAATCACGTAACAAGATTAATTATTATTTGTTTTAAAATTAGCTATGATGAGCGTTTTTCATTTTTTTTTTTGATTTGGACATGACTAAAGTGTGTAACCAAGCGATAAGCGACTAGTTAATTGTTTTTAAAAAAACTATCGACAATTATATTTTCTCAATTAAAGTAGTGTCCGATATAGCATCATGGTTGTCAGAATGGACTATAATTTCGTTCAAAATTACCAATTTAGATGATGATCGCTACAAAATCACCACTTTGCGCCATTGACCTTCACGTATCTAACGCTCTTAGAATGACTACATCGTCTTAGGTCATTTTGGAAGTAAATTCATCCGAGCGCAGCTTTTTCGCTTCTCGACGATTATATCGCCTCATTATCGTGTTCAGCAGCAAGACATGAACTCATAACTTCCTTAGTTAATTTCGTATTAATTGCCGTTTCTTCATTTTCCAAAAATAAAGAACAATTTTGAGTGATTTCGTCTAAACTTTGTTCAGAGGCGGTCTAAATTTTTGCTAAGCCCCTTGCTTTGTGGAATTAGTTTTAATGAAGATACTTGATGAGAAATGCAAAGTTATTAATAAATAAATTTAGAGTTTTAAAATTGTTTATTGGAAATTAACAAAAATTNCGATTTTGATCAAAGATTCCCACGGATTTATTGCTTTAGAAAGTCAAACAAATATTGTCTAAAAAGATGATGGGTCTCTCGATTTAATATATGTAGATAAAAATTGAACATTTTTTATGGTAAGTTCTGTTTCAAGCAGGCACAACTTACTGGGCAAAGAAACGGTATCGGAATCTTCGGAATTCCTCTGCTGTAGACTTTGCGATCCGGTCTGTTGTTGCCTGACAGATGATTGTTGTTGTACGCTAGGTGAGTTAACGAAAGTGGTACTATCTACGTAATTGGGCACGACGGTGTCCTGGGTCGACGATGACCCTTCCTGTTTGACCGACACCATCGTGCCTCCGGACATCGAGGAGGCGGCACTCGGCGACGACGTTTGCGTCAGTCGCTTGAACGGGCGCGATTCCGATATTGTCAAGCCCTGTTTACCACTACCACCACCGCTACCATTACCACTGCTACTTGTGTTAGTGTTCCCTACACAGCACCATATGAAAATGATCACATGTCAAACAACGACCAAGCAATGTATATATGTATGTATGCATGTATGAATAACTGCCCCCAATGGACTCAGATATGCAATTTTTTTCCAGGACTAAAAACATAACATTTACATTTTCGCCATAAATCTACAAGGTGTTGATGGTACGATGGTTAGCACCATAAATATAAAAATAGGAGACGAAAAATTAGAAGTCAGATAGATAACTCACGTTGAATTGAACGATAGAGATACAAAAGAAATGATAACGCAGGGTTAAGTGGCCTTTAATAAAAAGAAGTCATTTCTATGCTTTCAAACGAATAATTTACCACGGTTCCGGAAGGGTGTGAAACGTGGTCGGTGGGTGTCGCGGAATAGAATGGTTAGATGCATTTGGAATGTAGTGTTACAGGGCGGATGATGATGGTACTGTGAAAACAGAACGTTAGGGATGAGAAGGTATTAGAAAGTAGAAGAACGGAATGCGCTATGAAAATCAATAAGATATACGTGGGATAGGTTGGCAGGACACCTTGTCTAACCAGACATGAAGGGTTAGAGATAGAAGCATATTAAAAGCAAGGACAAAATTAAGAGAGGTAGACGTAAACTCAGATAAACTTTTAGGTGTTTATTCCTATTATGTACTAATGCTGGTGGACAGGCAGCCGGAAGTTAGGGCGAAAGGCCCTCTTCAGTCTTCTTTTAGGAGTCGTGAGATTGGTTAGAAGTAGTTGGGCGAGAAAGATTAGGCCGACGAAATGAAGACAGAAGAGAATGAAAAATTATCTGTGGAATATTACTCCCCCAGCATTTGCCTAAGTGATCAAAGGAAATCATAGAAAGGGCCAAAACAAACGGACTCGGAATCGAGCTGGTGTCCTCGCGAATGCCAAGCAATGGTTTAAACCTATAGGCCCTGCCACTTGATAGACCTACATTACAAATAGTTAAGAATGTAGAATGTTTTAGTTTTAGGGAAATGTCGAAATTGGCTCAGGGTAGTAAAGAGTGGAGGTGCGTGTCTATAATGATGATGATGATAATGAGTCTTGTATTAAGGTTTTAACCACATATACGTGACGGAGAAAATTGCGGATGCTACAAAAGGAAAGGCATGGCTACCACCATTCCAACAACAAAGGGGTGCCGAAAGATGCTGAAATTTTAAAACAATTAACTTGTTTTCATGCACCACAAATCTTAATGAATCGTGCACTGAAGGATGAAAAAAGGGCGGAAGAAATTGTAGGGGATGACCGATTCGGGCTTAGAAGAAATTCTGATAGAACGAATTGATTCCTATTATATACGGTCTCTTCCGGTAGATTACAACTGAGGTCAATTTAGGAAGGCGCAGTGCATAATAACTTTTGAGAAAAGTTTAACTCACTCGACGGTGCTGTCATAAATAACGGTTTTAATGGTAAAGAATAGTCTCCAAGGAATAGGTAAATAATCTTATAGAAATTAGGGATTCGGCATGGCTATCTATGTATGTATACGTGAAAAAGAGAATAAAAATCCACTGACTTTACCATATAAGAATAAGGTCATTAGGTTATTGTGAGTCACCACCGCTTTTATTTATCAGGTGTGCTAATGGATTAAAATTCTCAACAACATAGACTACTGTTACAGCATAATGTATATTTTTACATATATATAGGTACGCATATTTATTTATAAAAAGCTTGAAAATTTAAATGTGTAATATGCGATAAAGAGGCATTCAATAACGGGTATCGATATTAAAAAATTGAGTAACTGAAAAGTCGTATGGGTATTATTTTAGGGCATCGTTTCTTAACATGAGGGTCGCGTTCAGGAACATAGGAAGCCGCAATGTGTTCACTAAATAAGACCCGTACACAAAACATCCTTTTATTGAAATACGTTTAATTCAAAACAAGTATTAAAAAAATTAATGTTATCATGTAATAACAACATTACTAGCCTTTGTTTATAATAATTATTTTTAATGCGATCGGTTGATGTTCGTCACTTAAAAATGTTTCTTCAGATGCATCATCATTGAAAATACACGTAAGCAAATCATTTTCCAGTGATAAAACGATTTCTATGTTTAGTTTTTAAAGCTACCATAGGGGGGAAGTTTTTTTTTGCATATTAAGTAAGGATTATAACGAAAGGGATCAATGTCCTAAACTAACTTATGTTACTGGACTTCCATATTCACATCGTTGTACAAGCCAAAACTTATCTAAATCGTAAGTTAAAATAATTTAATGAGGGATTATCATAAGGTTTTTGACTTTTTGGCTGTTTAGTGGGTCGCGACAAGAAAAAGAGTTTAAAGCATCACTAAGTAACTTTAGGTGGGGTCCAGATACTTTTAAAAACCTTTACCGAGGTCCAAGAAAAAATATACTCCTTACTTCAGAAATTGCCAGGGTGAGATATCGGTTTATAAAATTATTCTTTTGTTATATTTGGAGGTATCTATTTTGCTGTCTACAGAAAAATATTTTTTAAATAAGGTATTTGAACGGCTTCAAAAAATTTTTGGCGGTCGTTTTTGACTTTCCGCGGTTCAGGCCGGACCTGAACCGCAATCCGCCAGTTGCCGACCGATGGTTTAGAGACTGTGTTGAAGGGAAACCAAAAGCCCTGAGACGTCTCAAAGATGTTAAACAACCAAAATTATAAGTGTAAATTATATCCAAATTTTATTTCAATTACTGTGTGAATTAACGGTCCTTGTTTGATTGATCATTCCAAAAGTTTTTTATTTTCATGGGAAGATATATCTTACGTTAAATCATTCGGATTGAAATGAAAAGATAATGGAAAGTCCTGGAAGTTCTGCGCTTTAATTATTATCTTACAAGATGCATATCTGTGACCAGAGGGTTGTGTGTTATATGTCTTTATGTACAAGCCCAGAATTATATATAAAGTAGAATGCATTTCAAAGCAGTATTAGTACGGTAAAAATTAAAACAGGGAAACTAAAAATGAACAAAAATAATAAGACAGACCTGTCGTCACGACGTTCGTCATAAGACTGCCCGTTTCGCTGAGGTTATCGAGACCCGGCCGAGGGTCGTACGCCGTTGTACTGTCTACATCGTTGGCGGAGATGTCGTAGCCCATCGAATTGGCCGGCACTTGGCTTGTACTCGTGTAATATGTTGGCGTGTAGGTACCGACCTCGCTGTTGTAGGCGTACCTGAAATAATTAACAATCGTAAATGTACAAAGACTTTTCGCAAAAATTCGAAAACACTGTACTAATTGCATAAAAATAGATTTGTTTCTGAAATGGCTTTTTGAAGACAGGAAACTACAGAATTAGTATATAAAACGAAAAGAATAGTTTGTACTTAAGTATATAAATACAATAATTGTTTGTACGTAATTTATAGTTTACATGTCGCAATATGCAATTTTAAAAATATCAGAAATTGGGAAGTGTACATTTTTATACATTCTTCCAAAAATTTGGGCTCTCCTCCCCCTTGGTAAGTTTTTGCGGGACTTGTTATGAATAATGAAGGTGTAATTGATGACGAGATTTGATTCCCTTACGTCCTTGGCAACTTCACTTTAACCTGTACGAATCGGTACACCCTGCATAATACTGACTGCAGATATGAGATTGAATATGACTGAATTCATAGAAATATGTTCTTGTTATTTAACAGAACAGGAGTTGCATATGTATATCTATACTAGAGATTCACCGAATAGCGTTTTTACCGGGTAATCAAGCAAAACCACTACGGCTGATGGTTCATGTCTTTGTTCTGACAGAGTTTCCATTAAATACTACCCTCACCAACGTCCCAATCCACATTAAGTCTAGTTCAAACAGTCGTTTAAACTTTAAACCAATGAAATTTTAATTTTTCCTAAAGAAGTGTCAGATCCGTCTTGTACACCAAAATAACTCGAACGTAGATACATGTAAATGAAATTTTATAAATCTTGATTAGTGATGAGTAAAATTGGTCTTGACCAAGACTTAGCACGCAAGACTAAAACTAAGGCCGAGGATTATATCAGCAAAACCAAGACAGGCTATATCAGACCAAAACTAGAAGTATTTTAACGAAACCAAGACCGAATAACCATTGCTCATCACTAATCATATTATAACATACACATCCACTGCTCTGCCCAAGGCGTTCTCCCTAAGCACGAGCTTTAAAAATCTTTGCTGAAATCTATGAAAATACCTTGCATTCCTACTAACACATTACGCTAGATTGTCCCCGTGCTTCATCAGACCGCTCTTCCTCCAGCCTTCAGCATTCCCCTGAGCTTTCGAAGAGAGAAAGAAATGCTAGTGCATTGTCACACAAAAGAAACCAATCATCTCGCTCACATTTCCAGGCGAACTCTTTGAATTCTCTTTAGATGTTTATTCTACACTTCCTCATAAATGAAACCTACCTATGTATGAGACAAGATCGTTTTCCAGTACGACAGAATTACTAGGTGCTCGATATTATTTAAACGTACAGACAGGAGCATTATTGATTAGTTTTTGCGCCGTTGAATAATTAAAAGGGCTCCCAACTTTTATAAAACCTATCCACGTACTAGGTACTCTCTCGAGATATGTGTACTATGAATAAATTGAAAAGTTTAAAAAAATTACCAAAGCAGCGTCACGGAGTTCATTATAATGCATAATCCCTTTAAAATTTGATTAAAACCGAGCGCACACTTTTAAGCATTAATCTAGAAAATTCTAAAACGTTTTAAAAATAAAAAAAAAAACAAATGCATCCTTTGTCGAAAATTCATTCAACACATCTTAATTCTAACTTTTGTAATTGACATGACGCTGCATAAAATAGTCAATCCATATGAAACCATTAATTAAAAAAATTTCTACTAAAGAATTACTGAAAAATTGCATTCAAGCGATTTGCATGAACCAGTCCAAAAAGTAATTGCAACAGAATATTGAATTTACTTTTAAGTATGTTTGGGAGGTATGTCAAAATGCTATGAGACAAATAAAAATTTGGAAGAACGTTCCTCATTCAATTCTAAAACTCCTGTAAAAATTACAAATTGATTCACTAAACTGTTAAAAAGTTATTGAAATTTTAAAAAATTGTAATTTTACACGTCATTTTATGGAGATTCGTTAACCGAACAGATTAAATTTATTTTTATTAACAGAAAAAAAGCTACCAGAAATTTCAAACTTTTATAATAAGTAACTTCAACTCTGGAGAATCACTTTAGCGTAAGATTATTCAAATTCACTAAATGGTTATCGAGGAAAAAATGAAAAATTAGCTGAAAATCTCGTTTTTACTTGATAATATAATGACAATATCTATAATTGTCTGAAATAAATGCAATTTTAATTACTTAAAAAGTTTAACGTCGGTCCGTGTGCAAAATGTTGGGTGATATTCGTTTTTTAACAATGAGTATAATTAAAACAAAATATAAAAATAGCATGAATATTCACCCCCTTTTTTGTGTGATGTTATCGCAATAGAGACACGGTTATCAGAATAAGGTAATGCCTTACGATTCTGGACCTCTTTGAAATTGGCATGGCATAATAATATAAACCATCGGAAAATTAGTCATAAATTGGTCGTAAAAGCCAAAAATTAGCCACGACCCGGAAAACCCGGAAACCAGTTTGCATACCAACTTCAAATGACGTTAGCAAGCAAAAATTCTAAAGTCGGTTGGAAAATCCTAGACAGTTAGAGCCGGCCTCTTTAACCGCTGACTATCTCGGGTTCGATTTTTTTTTTTAATGGTGTCATTTTTTCATCTCGATGGCCGTACAACCAAGTTTAGATGTCTAGGATTTTCCTCACCGATTTTACAATTTTTGTTAACTTCATTTGAAGTTGGCATACAAACTGGTTTTCCGGTCGCGGTCAATTTTTGGCTTTCATGGCTAATTTGCCGCTAATTATCCGATGGTTTGCTAATTTTGCCATACCTACTTCAAAGGGATCGACTTTAGTTGAACTGCTTCCGATATTTTTTTTGATAATGTGAAAAAACTTAAAAATTGTAGTGAGAAGCACCAATATAAACTGCACCCAAGAATCACGTGCAGAGTGAACTTACGTCATAACTAACTTTATATGCCCCCTGTGAAACATACCGTATGTCCTGTCGTTGAATAATTGAGCTACAATATTGTTTTTCCTTTTATAATAAAATTACGCAACATAACCTCTGTGACCAGCACATTGGTACATGCAAGTCATATCATGTTTGTTTAAATCTTTTTGATTTGTAAAATTTAAATCACCTCATCACCGCGACATTCGTGCGGAAGTGCAATGTACAGGGGCGGTATAACAACCCCATCGTAGACGCCTAATACGTAGTTTTAATTGCTGCTTGGGTTAAGAATACGGTTACTGTTATATTTCCGATGTAATTAACGCTTCGTTAAAATTTCTGCAATGTTCGTGGTAGGTATGTGCATAGAGTAATGATTAAAAGTTACCGCTCTTAAACTATGCACGTTTTTACATTTTTTAGTGTCTAACCAGTTATCCGTCCCAGTTTCATGATGGACTGTGTTTTTAATATTAACAAAGAACTAAGCCAGAATATATAACGTAGTTTTATAATGTATGTTTTATACTTCAAATATTAACAAGTTCAACATTATAACATTTCGGTTATCAATTCTGGGATGAAGGTTTTTTATTAAATTTTATAAAAACCTATCTATTTTGTTAATCTTTTTTTCATATTAAATGAGATTTTTTGTAGCCCTGAAGAAGCCTTGTAACCCTAAAGCGAAACGTATTAGATTGTAGATTATAAAATTTTAAACTTTCACCCCACAATTACCTTTTTCTTCAATATTCTAACATTTCATTACAATGTATGCAACCAACTATGCATCCGGATATAGACATTTGAACCCGCCAATTTCCTAATAATTCTTTAGTTTCAACTCGAATAGTTCAAAATGGGCAGTTATAGATTTTGACTTAACGAAAATATCCTGGATATTAACGAAAGTACTTCTTTATCTTTTAGTTAAATGTTTTAATCGTCAGAACAGCATAACTATCTTTATTTTAATTTTACTTTTGTTTACTCAAGACCATCTGAAACAGTATATTTCGGGGCTAACTATTCTCATAAATTGTCTATCAAATGAAATAGGTACGCATCAGTTCGAATGTTTCGTGAAGGAAACAAACAATGATGAGTTTCTACGTCTTCTCTTCGATCCACCAAAAATATTCACTTTTTTTGACAATAAAAACGACTATA